TAAGTAAGATTTTCTTCAAGCTTCCCTATAGTTTCACAAGTCTCAGTGATTGTGCCTAGATTTAGAATACATCCTTCATAATATTGACATTCTTGTATGATGAGTTAATTTCTCATTAAGAAAAAAATTCCAATTCAGTAAGTGTAGCTCAAGGCATTTCAGTGGCTCTCTTTGGTATTCTAAGGCTTCTGTGTCATCCAATGGATGACACTTCAGTCAGCAGTAGAATCATCATTCTCATTACCATCCACCATCCAACAGCTATAAAACCACCAGCTGCTAGCAAAATGGAACTAATTCCATTCTCTGCAGCAGCAAAGAGAAAATAGTTTCTATTATCCCAGTAGGCTGGATTCAAAGCACAGTTTTCCTTGGCATAAAAAATACCATCATCTTGTAAATACATCAAAAGGACATAAGCTCTATTTAGTCTTGTCATTGAGGAAGAAGTAGAACTAGCAGAAGTGGCTGACAGAACACAATGTAATAGGAACAGCAATGCAAGGACTACCTGTCATATTACAGGCACTGGATATCATAGTTTTTAGTCCTCCCAATAACAATAGAAGGCAGAAAATATCCACATTTTATTAGGAGACTTAGGTTTGGTGAGACTGAGTAGCAGTCAGTACTATCATGAGTTAAATGCAGGTCTGTTTTAACAAGTGAGGGATAAGTAAGCTGGATCTGGAAAGAAGGGGTAACATGTAGAAAGTGGCACAACTTTTAGAAAACATGAGCATTGACTTTTTAAAAAATTATTATTTAAGAGGCAGAGAGAGGAAGAAAGAACACACAGAGAACAAGCTCCCATCTACTGGCTCACTCTCTAACTGCCTACAACAGCTAGGGATGGGACCAGGAGCCAGGACGCTGAGTGGCTGGCACAGATGCAGTCCCATGGCTCATCAGCTGTGGCCCTTCAGGATCTGGAGTGGTGGGAAACTGGAAGCATGGAGGAATCAGAAGCTGGAGCTGGGAAACAAACTCAGGCACCAAAGTGAAGGAGATCGGGTCTTAGTTACTGGGCTGAATGGCCATTCTTTTAACGTAAAAGAGTTGTTAATTTCTATACCTCTCCCTTCTAAAGAAAGGAAATAATCCTAAATTCTTACATAGCTTGAAATAGATCTGATATCCTTTCCCTAATTTGCTACCATCAGCTACCAGGAATTTTAACCCATAAAATCAAATTTCATTAATTAATTAGTCATCTTAGCCACAGCATTAGTCACCATGAACTGGTTGTTGAGTACAATCTTCTCAAACTTCAGCAAACATTGGAATTACCTTGGAAGGTTTGCTGAACCTGGATTCCTGGGCTCCACCTCTCAGTAGGTCTGGGTTAAGGGCTAAAAATTTGCACTTCTCATAAGGCCCTGCATAACGCTGATGCTGTTCATTCAGGAACCATACTTTGTGAGCCACTATGATAGAGGAAAAAGTGTGCAAGGATGTGAGATTTTTGGGGCCTGGTGCAGTAGCCTAGTGGCTAAAGTTCTCACCTTGCACATGCCAGGATCCTGTATGGGCACCAGTTTGTGTCCTGGACGGTCCATTTCCCATCCAGCTCCCTAACTGTGGACTTGGGAAAGCAGTAGAGGACCACCCAAAGCCTTGGGACTCTTTATCCATGTGGGAGACCCAGAAGAAGCTCCTGGTTTCTGATTCCGGATCACTCAGCTATGGCTGTTGTGGCCACTTGGGGAGTGATGCAACGGATGGAAGATCTTTCTGTCTCTCCTTTCCCCCATCTTTTCCCATAAAAATAAATAAATCTTTTTTTAAAAAATGTGCGATTTGTATGTGCCTGCCCATGACAAGCTATACAAGACCAGTATTACATAAGAGGCCACCTTGTATTCTCTGGGCACAATTTACTAGTCCAGTTCTCTATAGCCATTTGCATGTAATGACCAGTGTCCGTAGATACACCACTCTAGGGGAGGACAATTGACTTTGTGGCTATTTTCTAAAGAGGCAAAAAAAAAAAAAAGCCCTGTAGTTTCAAAATGCAGTTGGCTCAACTAAGCCATCATAGAACTAAGAACACCATACTCAAAGGAGACAACTATTGTTGTATTTAATATACCAGTTCTTTACAGTTCAAAGAAAAACATGGATAAAAATAAATGCAGCTAAGTCTGAGGGAGGAAAGACCTGGAAACAGGACCATTCTCTCTTTCAGCCACAGCCTCTGCTGGTCCAATTGCTTATCTTTGTTTTATAAACAGAAAATGATTTAGACACAAGGTTTCTGCTGGAACTGGATCCCTAGAAGCCAACATAATCTTGGCTACTCAGCCTGCTTTTTATCCCTTCCCTGGATCAGCTCCAGGCTTGAGTTAGCCTGGCCTGGCTCAGGCATATGCGCTTAGTTACAGTACCAGAGGCTATTTCCAGGGCCGAATTTGAAATCCATAGGAAAACTGGGTAGAAGGATATGTTAGATACCAATCTTATAGAACCTGAGTATTTTAGCAGGAAGTTGCCTTCAATTTCAAAGCAGCCTGAGATGAATAACGAAATGGTGTTCACTGCATAAGGTATCCTAGGATGGTGATGCCTGATTCTAAATAACATGCTTTGGAAGTGGAAAAAACTTGACAAGAGGGAATTTCAAAGTCTGTGGTTAGCAGAGTTAAAAACAACAGCAACAAAAAAGGGTTCTTTGGCACTCAAAAAGAATTGCGAACTTCACATACAGTTTTCCAAAATACACATTTCTATGTTCTTTATTGAAGATCTCTTGTGTGGTCCCTTCCACTTAATTATCAAGTATGCTTTGCAAATTGTTAATATTCGCTTGCTGGCAGAATATTATGTCAAATGATGGTACAGAGGATATTCAAGGAGAATGTTATGACAAAAACCAAAGGGTCTTTGTAAAGTGCATTTTATGAAAAAAAAAGAATGGATTTCCAAATATTTCCCCCCTCCCAAATTCTTTTTTAAATTTCATTTTTGGTGAACTTTTTGAAGCACCCTTATGACTTGATGCTTCTGCATCAAATTAACTTGGAATTAATTTGGAGTTAATCTCTTGTTGAAACTGGCAGCACAAAAGGAAACATCTAGTCATTTTTCTCCTTCAGCCTTAGTAAGTGATGCTAAATGCTCATGAATATATCATAACGCTCTTGAGAACTCTTGTAGCTTAGTTTGGCTGATCCCAGACATTCAGATTGTCTCAAGGTCAGTCACTGTCCAAGTGTTCACTGAAGGTGTCTTATGTGCCATGTTACAGGGGCCTCTAGGCTTGTGTCTGCCCTTTGGCATGGAACTCTACCCCAGATGGTCTGGTAAAGCTTGGATCATAAAACACAACTGAAGAAACAAGAGACCTGCATGCTTTCTTTTTACTAATTCCTTACACTAGAATGGCAGAGATTCAGTCTCACTCTGCCTCTCAGTAACTCCTTAGTTTATAATCTAGTAGGTTGATGTCTCTACAATATCTGGGTCATTTTCTATTTAAATTAAATCAAAGTGAACCCACTTAACCCATGTACACTTACTATTCTCCTCATTGTTTGAAGCAACATTCTATCAAAACTCAGAAATGAGTAAGTGTTGGATGAATGAATACTGTTTTCTTCAACGTTGGGAACCTCAGACTCACTTCTGGGAGGCCAGGTGCTCTTGTTATTGTCATTACTCTCTGGTCACTGCCCTGGGTATTTTGGTTACCCACGGCTGCTCTGCACTCCAGCAGCTCAGTTCAGCCAGCCCACACTGTCACGCTGCCTCACAACGTCAGGGCCTCTGCTGACCTGGGGTGGCACTAGGAAAAAATGAAGAAAGAATGCTCATGTCTACCATTTAGGTCATGCAGGAAGGATAGTGCAAGGCCTTCCTCAGGCTCTGTCTCTGTACAGAAATATCAGAGCAAACTACAAAGCCGAAGAGTTGATGTGTTCTATTTGCTGTCTCCCTTGCTTACCTCTATCAAAACTCTGGATCCAGCCCAACCCTGGCTGGCTGCCTGAGCCCCTCTGCCTCTTTCGGAAAGGTGGTGAGGTGAGGACAAACAATGGCTCTAATTCATTATCATGTCCTTCCACTATGCTGCTACCATTCAATCAAATACCTCCTGAGCGCCTACTTCCTGAATAACACACTTGGTCCCATCCCCTGAGAGCAGCAGACAAGCAAGAAAAGTTCAGATGGAAGCACAGGAGATGTGTGAGTACAGAGGAAAAAGAGGCTGGCCCTGTGTTAGGGTGAAAACCAGGTCAGGCCACCCTTCAAGAGGAGAATTGCTTTTCATTCTCCTGGCAGGACGGCAGAGATACAAAGCACGAAATGGAGGCTCTTCTCATTCCCACTTCAAATACTCAACAATAGTCCCCATTGACAGTCCGGACTAGTTTCTGTGTGATAATGCCACTGGAATGACCATGCCAGCTTCTCGTGACCGCTCACCTTACACTACATATCTCAAGGTCAAAGCAACTAGAAATGTCCAAGGAAATTTTCCAAGGTATTTAGTTATCATGCTTGACCACATTCTTTTTTTTTTTTATTCCTCATCTATTTTTTTAAAATTTTTTTATGATACAGTTGTATAAGCACAGGCATTTCCCCTTATCCCTTCCATCCTCCACTCAGTGTTTTTTTTTTTTTTTAACAATCGTTACATGGTTTATTTGGGCAAAGGGTCAAGGGCTACAGGAAAGTGGGTAAGACTATTATTTCCAAATTGTTTCCTTCATATATCTGAGGTAGAGGGGGATATTGAGGGAGAAGCCCCACCTGGTTTCCCACCCACCCCAAGGACCACGATTCTAAAACTGGAGAGGAACAGCCAAATGAATACATACTTCATAGGAGGGCTGTGGAGAGAAGAATGGATTGGCAGAGAAAGACACAGAAGTACCACTGAGGCACAGACCCCACTCCCTGGGTACTCAGACTAACCAAAACCAAAATAATGTGATTTAGATTTGGGGGGGTTTTGTTTGTTTAGTTGGTTTTATAGATGGAGTGGTTTCACCTACCACATGGAATGCTCCCGGAGCCTTGACAGGTCTGAAGCCATCCACAGGTACACACTGATCAGCATGGCCATTGCAGAAGCAGCTGCCCTTGACAATGAAATCATAGATTGCATAGTGTGTGAAGTGTTGCGGCTTGGTGTTCAGGTCATTTCTCTGACAAGGACAAGACTGTCTTTTCAGCAGTTGCACCCGGAGATTGGTGATCTTCAGCTGCTCCTGAACTTTGGCACTATAGGGGTTCTCGGCATCATATGGCGGCGACAGTGCTCTGAAAATAACCTGCCAAGAGAAAGAAAACACCACATGTGTATAGGGCTGTGTGCAAACCTTGAATTGCTTGCCCAGTGCAGTCTCGGTTTGATTTATACCTTCAGTTATCTGAGAGTGATAAGATATCAAGGGGGAGTTTTAGACCTTGATCACACCTGGGGCTGAGCTGCCCTGTTCTTCATTTGGAAGAACAGATGTGCTGCCTGTTTGCACATGAAACTCCACCTGGAGTTGCCAGCACAGCCCTGGCTCTTGAGATGAAGGTAGCCATGCAGCGAAGTTAGTGGAAGGGCATTCTGACCAGGAGGAACAGCAAGTAAAAAGAAGCAGAATCAAGGTAGGCTTGCTCAAGGTCAGGGGGATTGCAGACCAGCAGAAAAAGGCACAGTGGCTGGAGAGGCTAGGGAGCAAACACTATAACGACACAGAGCCTGTTCCCAGGCATGGTGGGTTATTCTAACTGGAGTGGAAGCTACTGCTAGTTCGTAGGCAAAGAAGGGCAAGGATCTAAGTTACATATTCTCGTGCGATAACCCACTTCTGTGAAGAGAACAAACTATAAATTATGAATAATAAAAACAGGAAGGCTAGAGAGAAAGAAAGATGACTAGTTAGGGAACAGTTAACTTGTATTTCTAGATGAAGTAATTACTGTAATTACTTTTCAATGCCTTTTCAAAGACGAATTGGGTAACAAATGCAGTCACTGTGACTACAAATGGTTCTTTTCTGGGTCTGCCTTCCAAGCTTGTGGCACCTTTTTGGAGTATGTGTACTGGTGGTAGGAGATAAGAGTGTACCTCTCTTGAGGGCAGAGCTGGTTTCTGAAATTAGTCAAAAGGCACTTTAAAGCCAAGTGTAAGGTGGCAGGTCGAGTTAGTTCAATAGGACTTTTGGCTCAATGCAACTTTCTGTTAATTCCGGAGTGGACACTAAAGGCAACTTAAAACTGAGCCTGAGGAAACAGAGGGAGGAAGGGTCACAAGTGACAAACTTTGACTCCTGGGAGGCCTCTGGCGTGTGTGTGTGTGTGTGTGTGTGTGTGTGTGTGAGAGAGAGAGAGAGAGAGAGAGAGAGAGAGTCTATACACTCTGTGAGGAGTGTATAAAGGGGGCCCTGACACAAAGAAGTGATAAGTGGCCAAGGTGATGGATATTCCAGTTAACCAGATTGCATCATCACATATGGATGCATTGCAGTGCCACACCAGGTCCCATAACTGTGTGCCATCACCATGTACTAGTTAAAAATAAGGTTGGCTGCTGGTGTAGGGGATGGCACCCCACTTGGGACACCTGCCTCGCTGTCAGAGTGTCTTGGTTTGCATCCTGGCTCTGCTCCCGATTCAAGCTTCATGCTGATATGCACCTGGGAAGCAGCAGGGGAGCACTCAGGTAGCTGGCTTCCTGTCACTTGCGCGGGAAAACTGAGCTGAGGTTCTGCTCCTGCCTCCAGTGAGGCCCAGCTGTAGCCAGGAGAAGCATTGCAGGCAGAACCAGCAGATGGGAGATTCTCTCTCTCTCTGCTTTTCAAACTGATTACGTGATTTTTAAAGTAAAATTGAAGATAAAATTTTTAAGGAGGGGCTCAGGAGGGAGGTGATACAAACCTCTCTAATGAACCTATTAAGGGAGCAAGGGCTTGTGACAGGGGAAATGATGAGTCATGGAAAACAAGGAGTGTCAAAAAGAAAATCCACAATATTCTGTAATACGAAATAGACTGTGAGGAGGCCAAAAACAAGCTTATACTTTATTATGCAGGGATTTCAAAAGAAACAGAATAAAACCTCAAACAGATTCATGAATCTATATAATAAGAGACATAAAATTTTCCTAAATTTTTTTCTTAAATATCTGTTAGCTTCTTAAGACTATCCCTTTTCCCTCGCGCCCCACAACACAAAAGTACTATGAAAAAAAAGTAACGGAGCCAAGCAGCATCCTGGAATATCAGAGTGTAGGTTTGAATGCTGGCTGCTCTGTTTCTGAACCAGCTCCCTGCAAATGCTCCCAGGAAAGCACCCAATGACGGGCCAAGTCCTTGGGCCCCTGCCATCCATGTGGAAAACCTGGATCGAGTTCCTGGCTCCTGGCTTTGGCCCTGCCCAGACATGGCTGTTATGGCCATTTGGGGAGTGAATCAGCTGTGGAAAGATTCTCTGGCCCACGCTTCCTCTCCCTTCTCTCCTCTCTCTCACCATCACTCCGCCTTTCAAATAAACAAAATCTTTAAAAAGTTAAAGTCTTACAAGGCTGGTGTTATGGCACAGTGAGTTAAGCTGCCACTTGTAGTGACCACATCCCATATTGGAGCTAGTTTAAGTCCTGGGAGCTCCATTTTCCATCCAGCTGCCTGCTAATATTCCTGGAAAAGCAGTGGAGAATGGCCCTTGTGCTTGGGCCCTCTGCACCCATGGGAGAGACCTGGATAAAGCTCCTGGTTTCTGGTTTCTGGTTTCAGTCTGCCCCAGTCCTGGCTGCTGTGGCCATTTGAGAAGTGAAGCAGCAGCCGGAAGATCTTCGTAGCACTTGCCTTTCAAATAAAGAAATAATTTCATTCCAAAAGTATGAAAAGGCAAGGATCAGCTGTGTGGAATCATTCCTCTGAGTATGTGGGGACAGAAACATCATCAGTGAAATTTACTTGGAGGAAGGGGAGTGATTCAGTGACCAGCTGGCCTCATGCAGCCTGCTCTCCACACAGGAGCCCGAGGCATCTTCTAAAAACAGAACTTGGATCCCATCATTCCCTTGCCTAAATCTATCCCTACACAGACAGCTCACAGGTCCCTCAGAAGAAAATGCAAGGTCCTCCTCGGGGCCTGCTTTAACGTGTTCTTCCCTGACAGGGATGTGGAGTTGCTCATTACACGCTGCCTTCTCCATCTGCAGTGTAACCCTCCCAAAAGCAGCCAGGGCTGTGTGCCAGGGCACAGTTGGTATCCAGCAAGCTTTTGGCACAGGAATGAATGAATTGTAACACTATTCTTGGCAGTCATGTAACCCAGGTCAGGGTTTCAAATCATTTCTTTATAGAGAATGTTAAACAGCTGTACATATTGGGGCTCATGTGATAGCACCAGGAGGTAAAAGAGATCATCATAAATAATTGAATAATTATTTGCTTGTATTTCTAGCTGGTTTTGAAGTTGCAGAACTTGGAAGAAAAGTTGTCTCATCAGCTCTGTTTACCTACCTGTAGAGCATACTAAGAGATGAAATTTTCCAACAAATAATATGTTGTATATGTAGCTGATGTGGAGATGGTGTCTTTTTTATTCAAACACCCTAAATGAGAACATAATTTCAGATCTTGAAACATTAAAACCACACGATAGTGCTTGCTTGCTTCAGAAAAATTCAAAATACAGCAGAATCCATTGTGCGTTTCCTGTGGAATTTATTTTCAGTATCATGTGTCCATGCTAGTGTTTGTTAAATATACACAAGTATTTAATATATCCAGAAAAAAACAGAAATGATGTGGGTACCTCCAATTTGGTCAGCCACTCTTGTCCCAAGAATAGGACAAGTGAGGGCTCACCAGTCAGTCTTCCACAGAAAGGTTTCTGGGCCTGTTTTCTGCACGCCTCTCCTTTTCCTGTCCTGCAGTGGCATCTGTTTGCTCTCTCTGTTCCTGTCACGTTTGTTACCCTTGACACTGGCCAGCATTCCCTTGCCCTCCTAGCCCTCCCCCAGAGAGCTGCTCAGCTAAGGCAAGGCTAGCGGAAGATCTGTCAAGGTTTGGAGGAACTTAGGAGACCTTGGCTTCCTGAGCCCAGATGGTGGTAGCTGAATGGCAGCTCTGTGCCGACTGTGCATGACACCACAGTTGGCACGCCGCTATCAGCAGGGAAGGGACATCATGAGCCCCGAGGCTACGCACTAGAGAGGAGACAAGTGGAGCGCCCAGAGACACAAAAGTGGACGGGAATTTAAACCATGAAATCTGTTTTCCAGCAAGGAGACGCCTTAATCTGATACCCTGGGAAACGGATCTATCCTGCGGCAGGAAACAAAGAATGCACCAGTCCAGATGCTTCAAACATCCTGGCAGGTCGCCCTTTGGGTCCCACCCAGTTTTTCCTGTGACTTCCCTTGCAGCAGCCTGTTTGGCACTACTGAAATGTGGGAGGTTCACTGTTTCCTATCTGCCCTGCCTGACTCGGGTCCCTGTCATGATTAGCTGCAGACCCATTGCCACTCCTCTGTATGTGATGACACTGTTTCAACAAGACATCTTTAAAACCTCAGCACAATTTTCTGACCAGGATCAAGCAGCTTCCATATTTCCAACTTACTGGTACTACTGGTGCTACTGGTCTGGACTTTACGACCCAGGGTGTTTATCACCTACCATTATACTGATTACAGAAAAATGAAAGATGTAGAAGACAGTAGGTACTTATAGAAAGATTCCCCCCATCAGTCAGCCAGAGAGATGATGCATCACTGTCTCTGTGTAAATATCTGTATGGCTAAGATGTGTTGTGTAAACTACCTTGTATGTATTGTGTGAGTTTGGGTAGGTCAGTAACTACACCTCTATGTCAGCAGGTTTTAAGAGTGTGTCCCCCCAGACCAGCAGCGTCCCTATAGCAGACACACATGCAAATTCTTGGACCCTATGTCAGCTAGCTCAGTCAAAAATTCTGCAGTACAAGGCCTAGCATTCTGTTTCAATCAGCCCTTTGGGTGGTTCTGATACAAATCTAGTCTGAGAAGTTCTGCTCCATAATTCAGAAATCTGCTTAGAATCCATTGCACAGCTGTGGCATCATTTATTTAACCAGGCTGTGATTCTTATGCAGTGAAGTGGTTTGATATCCCTGACGACTATGAGCAAACTTATAGCTAAAAGTGGGGATACATATTATGTATTAATAATTCCCTGAAAACACATTTCAAAAGCAAAGTCAGTGAGACAAAGGAAATGAATAATTTAAAGTCCCTCGCCTTCTGAGTAAGTCATGACACTTTCTTCTGTCATCTTCAGATTCTTCATAA